CTGGATGTCCTCGTCTGCCGCAAAGATTGTGGTGGCCTAAAAACCAAAGTGTTCAGGAAAGCGACAAATACGACGCAAATACTGAACTTCAATAGCAACCACCCTATCAGTCACAAACGCAGTTGCGTAAGGGCGCTATACCGGCGGGTTGAGACGCACTGCAGTGAAATGGAAGACAAGGTTGCTGAATTACAATATCTTCGACGGGTAATGAGAGCCAATGGTTACCCGCGCAACTTTGTCAACCAGTGCATACGAAAAGGACACCAGAGACCAAATCCAACTAGCCCCAAATTTTGGCGGGCTCTTCCGTACGTGAAGAACGTCTCGGAAGCCGTCAGCCGTCTTCTCACTCCACTTGGAGTTGGGGTTGCACACAGGCCGGAAGCAACCATTAGGCGCCAAGTAGTGAGGCCAAAAGACCCGCTACCACGGCAGGAAACGTCTGGAGTCGTTTACCAGATCTGGTGTAGTTGCAGACAAAGCAATTATGTCGGAGAAACTGGGAGATTACTCCGTACGCGACTTGCCGAGCATGCAGCAGCAGTGAGGCGGGGAGACGCTAACTCTCAGGTGGCGGCACACTCGACGGGACCCGGCCATATCTTCAAATTTCAAGAGGCCGAAATCCTCGCAAGGAGTGACAACCGCGTGAGCCGCGAACTGCTCGAGTCATGGTTCTCAGGCCCGCAATCCATCAACAAACACAATGACCTCCCGGTGGCCTATTCCGTATTGCGATTTTCCCTGGACAGGAGAATCAGTCACGTGGGGAGGGCGCGGGTGAGCAATTATCACGGTGACTGTGAGCCAGTTTGCCGAGCAATCGTCACACCAGCATCGAGAACGGATGACGAAATCGCGGCAATTAACAACTCGGACTCGGACCGCCAAGCCCCCGCCGCATCAATTACGACCCCAGCGGCGATTGTGAGAAGTGTCAATTGCAGTGCGCATACGGTCCCACGGCAGCCACGTGCTATAAATACTGCACTCCTGGTGCCACCTTCACCTCTATCTGCGAATGTCTCTGATGATGGGTTCGAGTGAGAACCCGAAACGTCAGGCCAATAAACTTCTTGTCCCAGTGATCGCATCTTCATCTTCTGAGCAGTTTTGTTCGTTTGCACATAACATATTGAAGGGGTTGCAGGAGGATCATAAAGTATCTCAACTTCGAGCCATATTTATGTATCCCTTGCGTGCTGTCTTCTACTGCCTTTGTTTGGCCTTTTATAACACAATGGGACGGCAAACTAGACCAGTCAGACAATTCTGCGCGGATTTACGAGTGTTATCCCCTTCCTCTAACCTGATCTGATGACCGCGATATCGATCCTTCTACATCCAATTGGCTGTCGCAATTGGTCCTGTCACACACTGGCCTACTGGCAGTCAGTGATACCATCTCTGAGCCGATTTATTACACTACCGGTGAAGTAAATACATAAACCGAGGTCGTTTTTGTCGCCTTGATAACAGTGTGTGTTTTCTTAAACTTCCCCTTACTTTGTACTAAATATTTCTGTTCACACATTTGGATATTGCTTTTGAAGTATCTTTGAACACTTGATTAATCTCAAAATGAAAAGCATTTTTCACTGATTCAGGCATGCCAGTCATGTGTGTGACAATCTTTACCGAGCACCGTTTGCCTCCACTGCAGATGTGACGAGGAAACCTGGCTAACTCGCTGACCTTGATTAATCCACGCAGATGGCCGCAATGCAACGGACATTTCCGTCTTGGTAGGTGTTTTACCTCAGTACTTCGTGTTTAGAACCCACGTATACTGTTTTACAGTGACAGGTAATCAATCCTTGATGACCGACGTCAGCGAATAACCCAAAATTGGTCGATTCGTTCTTCCTCTGATTCGTCGATATAGCAATTTCTGAGGACTTAGCAGACTGTAAGAACCCCTTATGATTATTCTGTCCTAACCGGGAATTATTGTGAATATATGTGAACATCCAGTAACCTGCGTTCGCGGGATTTACGCTCATAAGACCAAAAGGAATGTTTTAAGGCAGAACAAGTGGACGGCTTTCGCTTCTTCCGAAAACTTTTCGGCGTTTATGGCATACACTGACAAATTACCACATCTAAGGGAAGATCTAAAGAAGATTCAGTATAAACAATTTTACATCTGGTCTATTCTTTAGTTGGTAGTAATGTATGCTTATTTTATGCCGTCCTGGCATTTATGCGTAGATTTAAGCGTGAACTGCAAGCAGATGGGAAACCCAAATAACATATATAGCAACATTTTGTTTTTGTGCATCCCGTCGTTTGCCAATCAGTAAAAATTCAACGGCTTTAGTCGAGATGGCATTACGGAAAATAAGGACAATTTGGGATATCTTTTTCGTATCACGATAAAGCTATAAAAACGATTTTCCGCCCTGCTTCCCTATTTAATATGCAATTTTGTTCAGTGTCATAAGGAGTTACAATTTGCGTAAGGAATTCGTCCTTGGACTGAATAGAATACGGACTCCTATGACATATGCAGGATAGCCTATCAAAAACTATAACTGTAATCCTCTTATTCTTGCGTAAATGAATAAGGTCGAGATCATATCGGCTGAAATCCATAATTCGGGTTTCTTCAAATTATTTTACTTATTATATTCTAAATTTCTTATTCTGTTACATCCTTG